CGAAGTTATACGAATGCCCCAAGATCACATTGTGGTGGTTGCGCACGAGTGCGAATGTATTGGTGCGAAAATGGGCGGGCAGTAAAGAAAAGAAAAGAATCGTCGAAAACGCTTATTTTCAGAGCTCACTCACCTTCATAATCGGCTGTGATGAGGCAGTGAGAACTTAAGCGCAGAGAGGAGGTAGAATAGAGGGCGTTTAGAATCCTTCTATTTTATAAGCGCTAACTTTGTGTGTCGGTTTGTGTATCTGTATGTGTGTGTGTGTGTGTGTGTGTATGTATGTATGTGTGTCCGTCCGCAAAATGAAGTGAGTGAGAAGGAAGCTCATGGGATAAACAAACCGCTAACAAATCGGGTAGCTTACAGGATTTGAGATATCAATGTTTTGTAGCAGGATAGTTGTGATAACACTCTTAGGGCTATATAAACACCTGCTTAGCACACTTCCGTTCATTCCACATGGTGCTGCAGTGGCAGCTGGAGGGCAGTGGAGAGAGGAAGGGAAGCGAAAAATCTACCGTCATCATGATTGTGTCCCTTCTACTGTTTGAAACACCATTGTGTTGCATACGCGTCACTTCCAGGAGGTGTTGGTGTCACAGGAGGAAGGGACCATAGCGGAGGATAGAAAGCTTGCGCAGGAAAGGAAGGTCCCGGCGGTTGACGGGGGACTAATCTGGTAATAAAAAATGGCAGGCTGCAGGCAGCTACTTGAAAACCCTAGTATCTGGCGGTGACTTCCAAGATATCGTTTCTCAGACAGCTGATGTAATCAAAGCGAAAAGAGTACTCTGTACATACAACAGATAGATTATGACGTTCAATGTAACGTGTAGGGGTCGAACTTGGTTTCCACAGTCTCGAAGCAAACACAGTGAACCGTTCACACCAAGGCAAGCGGTGTGATATCTAAAGTGCTGCCTACCATTTTAAATAGAGTGAAATCACCTAAACCAGCAGAATTCTTGGAACGCCATCGGATTATCTAGTCCAAGAACGTGCAACAATTCTTCAAGTGCTAAAGTCATTTAACCGGTAATGCTGGTGTAACCATTCTCCACTAGCTGTCTTCAAGAAAGCAACAACACTTCAAAATCAGCTCTCTAGTGAATAAAATCACTAGCGACTACCTCTTGCCTAATAATCCGTCTCGCATGCGAATTGGTACAGTTCATCAGAAACAAAAGGTTTGGGATAAGGCCGGGTGAAAGCAGTTTGATTGGGCCACACATAGCTCATAAACAAAATAAGGTAGCTTCACTGGTTTGGGCAGCAAAACTTTTTTTAGGAGCAAGGAAAAGGTGGACCGGCGAGGAGACGCAAGTCATCAACTGGCCGAAAATATGGTAATAACTGTTTTGCAAGCTAAGATTAGAACTGAGTTAGCTAACTATTTTATGCTACTAGGGTGTTTTCCGTTCTACAAACTTGAATGCACAGCATTTAATAAGTGATAATGATAGTGACATTGCGGCAGAATGGCGTACTGCACACAAGAAAAAATAATCTGCAGAGATCCCAAATGTGTAACAATTACATATTTATGAAGAAGGGCAGCTGAGTAGTAAATTTGGTGGGCCCTCGTTTCTTTTGAGTTTGTGTTTAGTGAAGGGATAGTTGACTCCTTCTGAGTGAACCTTGTTATTATTTTGCCTGCAGACCGCTAGCGTTGTGATACTTTCTGCGAAGGAACTCATATACAGGGGTGGTGGGGGGGGGACAAAAAACGTCACTCTCATTCACATTCAAGGCAAAATTAATTACACTTTGCCGGAACCAAACTGGATGGTCTCAATTGCGTATTGAGAGATCATGCTGTTCTATCAAAAAATGACATAGGGGCTTTCTACACCAACAACATCAGGAGATTTCCCCCACGGAAACATGGTGCACGGGACGAGCTCAACGGGTCGTTGAGAAACCATAGATGATTACGACGTCTCTGAAACGCTAGTCAAAGCCATGTTGCATAGTCAGAGCTGGCGTCCTAAAGAAGCCATTCACCAGTTATCCGATTGAGAAATTATGTAGCAGCTCCAGAATGGAGCGATTATGGTAGGCCTCCTTGAGCTCGACGGTGATGACAGATGACGTCATATTCTGGAGACGGTGAAGGCGGGCCTGATTCTGCTTATGGGGGGACATCTAAGGAATATTTCGCCGTATAACTCCCAATAACAGCGGCATCCTTTGCGACAAAAAAGTTTGATGATATGCGCCATAGGCAAAGTGACTCTTTTTTTGGCCCCCCTGTACATCTGTGCGGATTCTGCGGCTTATATATAGAATTTTCGAGCCTGTTCTGGATTTCTATTTACCTTAAATCAGAGTTTCGCACTCGATTCGCAACGGTATGAAGAGTATCGGAAAAAATCGTGGGCTGTGCTACTTCCCGTTAATTTTCAGTTCTTGCCAGCGAGATCTAGCGTATCCGTTACAAAAGCATCAGGATATCTTCTTGAAAACCCCGTAAAAAATGGCCCGTCGCTAATTGAGGTTACCGACAGAACTGACCAAACTCAAAAATAAGAACCGTTGCGAATCGGACCCTCACTGAATCGTAGAGTATTGTCAGATTACAAGAAAATGCTATAAGTTACTAGAGGGCGATGAACCAGTCAGAGAATCATTGCAACTGGCGTGTTCTTGGGAAAAACCGCCAATTGGCTGGAAAAGCAGGGATTGACAGGCAAAAAAAGCTAAATATAGATTCGATCAGCAAATTTCATATGCACCCGTGAAACCTAGGGTGATCTAGTTATGCAATACGCGATCGTGCACTGGACAAGTCAGGAGGGAGTTGGGAAAACTTTGTGAAAAGACTCTTAGGCCAAGCCTAGGGAGCAGGGGTGAACTCCGGAGAACACGAAAACTGCTTCCGCCATCCAACCACACACTCCTCTTTCAAAGTTTATGACCGTCTCCCCCCCCCCCTTCCTCCTCCGTGATTCCAAGAGAAAAATATATGATTCTGCCTGTTTATCTTAGTGCTGGCTTTTTCAGGGCCTGTGTTAGAGTGAACTGAAATTTTTAAGAATTGCTATTGGGTATTTGCTTCCAACATTTCGAAGAATAGAAAAACCGAACAGATTGTTTCAATTAGATGGGCAGCAAGGTTCATTTGCGTAAAACGATTTATATAAAACGCCCGTAATACTATAAAAATACTTTTACAAAATGTCCGTCTTCAATTTAGAGTCCATTTTTAGCTGTTCTTTTTGGCCACAGCTCTCCAAGCAAAAACTATAAAGCAAGCCGGATTATGAGCAAAACTCTTCGCAGGAGTCGAACTCACACCTCTGACTTTCGGGGTGCTTTTGTTACCGATTAAATAAGTCATCGTGTCCCTTTCACTTGTAGCCTCCATTGCTGAAATATTGAAATGCATAAAGAATTTATTAAATTAGATAAACAGCGCAGTATTCAATCAGAGACTCGAAACATCCTATTTCACACATCATATACTTTTCTTCAGGTTTCGATGATCAAGATGTTATTGACAAAAGGGTATGTTTTTTGTTTGCTTCCTGTCGCTAGTAAGCAAAAGCAAAGGTATCGACGGCATTTTGCTGCTTTACAGAATACTGACACATTGAAAGTCGAAGCCTTTGAAAACGTTCTAAATGCACGTCCTGCACAAGCACATATTCGCAATCGGAAGCTCAAGTCAGTTTTCGTTCCTTATGACCGTTCTCGTATTTTGGACATTCTTGTAAAAAATAGCCAGCACCGGCCGCTGATTCAATGTTTCGAACGCAAAGCTAAAAATTTAATAGTGCATTGGAAGAGCAGGTTCTAGAAGCGTAACAGCGAAAGCTGTTCTACGGAAGAACTCTCCGTCACGAATTCCAATTTTCCTGGATTTTCTTAGCAAGAGGTGGTTCAACGGTGTCATAAAAAGCAAACTTTGCTTGCTTTTCTTTCGTATTAAAAGCGTTGCAATCGAGCTGTGGATAGTTGACTTTCGCGTTGACTGCGACATCTACACGTAGGGGTTTCCAGAGCTCAACTCCTCTCGTGTTCCACCAAAAATCCGAGAAGGCCCTACTTGGACGAGGTTGAACTTAAGCAGTAAGAACTCCCGAAGCGTTTGAGCTGGACTACCGCCGCTTGTTCATTTGTTAGCACACTGTACCCACTCCTCATCTTCGGCAAATGTGATGGATGGTCAATCGAAGAATCCATAGTAAGTCGACTTGAACATGACGATGTCAGATCGTGTTTGGAGCTGAATCGGGCTCAAGGCACGTGGGGACCAAACTCTACATTTTCGGATCTTCACAAGTCTTTGGAGATGCCACAGTGCTGTCTCCTTGTCGCATCAGAATTGCTCTAGCAAATGATCGATACTCTATCCAGACCTACAAAGAGAGACGTTGGAGTTTACTATCCAGATCCTTTTTCAACAGCGTCAGATAGAGCATCGTGATTGTCAGTCACGGGGTGGTTGGAGTGTGGATCATCTTCAAATAAAAAAATTCAACGCTGAGCAGAGTGAAGCGCCTGTGCACCGTGAATTGAGAGAGCGTGA